TTTGGCCTTGGGGTATTTTAACAAACCAAATAACTTGAGGTGCAGACAGAAAGTAAAGTAAGTGACAGGTAGGCAGATGAAGAATTCCTTTCCTCTTTTTCTTTTTCTTTCTTTTTTTTAACCTTTTAATGAAAAGGCTGGGTTTTGGTTTTCATCCTAGTTCTGCCATGATTAGTGGTATGACTTGGTTAAGTGCCTCGATAAATTTGGATTTCAATAGTGTAAAGGAAGCAATGCCTGCATCATAGAGGACTACTCTCTACAAGGCAATTAACACAAAGTCCATCTTATGTAAACACACAATAAAGAACATGAGAATATTCAAGTCCTAATGAAATCTTTGAATCACCTGTCCTTCCATGCTGTCTCTCGGTCTTCTACACCCTATAATTATCTGATCTGAAACAAGTATTAGCAAGGAAGAGAAAATAGAACTTTTGTACACTGTTGGTGGGACTGTAAACTAGTCCAGTATCTACAGAAAATAATATGGAGTTTTCTAAAAATATTAAAAATGCATCCACCATATGGCCTAGTAATTTCACTACTTGGTGTCTACCTAAGAATGCAAAAATATTAAATGCAAGTGATATAAATATTCCTACATTCACTGCAGCACTATTTACAATGACTAGTTATAGAAGTAATCTTAGTGCCCAACAACATATGAGTGGGTTAAGAAGATGTGGGGTGTATATGTGTGTCTGTATATATATATATATATATACATAAATATATACATAGAATGTTACACAGCTATAAAAAAAAGATGAAGTCTTGTCATCTGCAAAAACATGGCTGAAACTAGAGGAATTTATGCTAAGTGGATACAAGTCAGAAGAGAAAGACAAATACTAAATAATATCACTCATATGTGGAACATAGTAAAATAAAACAAAGAACAGACAAGACTGTGCATCACACTTTACTTTCCAACTTTTTATTTTTTATGAATGTATCCATGAAGATTTCTAGCCTGCAATCAAGACTGGAAAATGAAGGATTTGAGTGGACTTTTGCCATTTGAACCATCTGTTTGTTGAGATGGTGGTAAATGAGCCTGGAGGTTGACATCTATTCCTGATACTCATTCTGTCCCCTGACTGATGTTCCACACTTCATAAATATACTGTTCTTTCCCTGTTCATGTCCCATACCCCTTCTCTTGCTTTTTTTCTCTTCCAGAAGGAGATTGTGAAATATAAACATATTGCATTACAGAAAACATTCCTCTTCCTCCAGGTTCCCAAAGCCTGCCCCCTTTCAAGCTGAAGACTTCATTCTAAATCTGGCTGGGATTCTCATCCCAGCACTCTTCCTGAGACCCTTTCTAGCTTTCATGAAGTTTTTTTTTTTTTTGAGTAGTTTTGCAAGATGAGCTAGCCTAATAGTATATGACATCATGAGCTAAAATGAATTCTTCCTTTTGCCAATATTGCAAAGAACAGTGGCTAAAAAGCATGGTCTCTGGAGGCAACCAGCTAGGGTTGATTCCTGCTGTTCTAGTTGTGTCATCTGGGCAGGTTCCCTAACTCCCTAACTGTATGCCTCAGTTTCTCTCTAAAAAAAAATAATGGAAAAGTACTTCTCTCATAGGATAGTAGTGAGAACTACTGCTTTAAATCTTTTATGATTAAAAACATCTGGTATATAATGAGCGCTCAAAAAATATTAGTAGTTGTTACTTGTCAGGCCTTGATTGTAGGCTGTTACCCTCAGCAAAGTTCTCCAAATCTAATCTTTGATATTCTCTCACATTCCATATTCCTGGACCATTGACTTAAGTGAAAACTGAGGACTATTTAATATCCTGAGATCTAAGTAGGGAATCAAGAGAGAATGTAGGAGAATAATAACTAATAATAGTAATAGACAGACATTCACTGAAAACTTTGTCATATACTTGCATCTTATTTAATTCCCCACCATTCTTACATGTTTGTATTATTACTCACATCTACCATTGATGATTCAAGTTGAAGAGATAAGTTATGTGTGGTCCAAGGCCACACAGATCCTTTTCCTGAATTCAGGATCATTTCTATATAACCCCATGATATCTTCTTAAGGATATGAGATGGCCATAGAGAAGCATGGCTATTTTCTGGGTATTCAGCTCCCCTCTGAAGCCACTCTCTAATTCACCATAATCAGCCCTCTTGAGAGAGACTTGGCTTAGAGGTGGCTTCTGGCAATGGTTCATACAGTTTTTGTGAAGTCACATGTAGTCCCGGAGTTGCCAGGAAAAAGGATGCCTTGATGAGCCAAAATGCAAATTCCTTAGGAGAGGAAAAGTGAAAGTGAGCTTGTTCACACTGTACTGGGCTCCAAGGAAATGACACAGAGAGACACAGTGTCTTACCACTAGGCTCTGTCATGACATGGGGGCATTATCTTGTATTTGATTCTAAACTTGCTTCCCAGTCATTTGCTTCTTTGATCAGTAAGAGAGACAGAGGTGACCCAAATTAAAAAGTTGACATTCAACAAGTGCAGTCTTCTTCCAGGAAGCTGGGTAGCACCAGGTTAGGAAGGATATTTTCCTCACCAATCCTCAGAATTTTCCTTGTCCTAGACATAGGTTACTCAAAGCAGGTCAAGACCAGGAAAAGGGAATCTGGATCCTGCTCCAGTTTACTCATATCTGAAAAAATTTCTAGGGTCTTCACTGGGTTCTAAAACCTCTTTGGTTATTTTTTTTTCTCTTCTTTTCACTTATTTTCTTTCTCTGACCTTGTCCAGTCTTCTCCAAAATGCTTGTACCACTAACCTGCCTTTAGCTCACAGAAATTTTCCTGAAGAATTCAATGCATAAGGGAAATTCATTTTCATCCTGCCAAGTCTAGGGCTGGATTAGTTGGGCTTTGAACATTCTTTTTGTCAATAACTTCCTGACCTTACTTTTGCTCTCAGGCTTGCTAAGTTATATTTACAACCAAAGACTGGTCTAAGGATCTGGCAATTAATGGCATTTTGGACCAGCACAATTAATGTTCTTTATATAAAATGTTGTTTTGGAGGATTTAATGAGGAGCATTTAAAGATGGGGTGTTAAAAATAAGATTTAAAAGCCCTTTATAAAAACTGTTAGATACGATCCAAAAGTGAAATTTTTGAATGAAAGTTGTCTGATCTGATGCAAGCCATATTTGGATGTGTAAGGTGAGAAGTCTTGAAAAGTCAAATCAGATCAGCTGCTTATTCTCAGAGCAGAGAAGGAAGCCAGTAGCCTCACTTCCAGTGAGGGGAGCGGACTCATCTCTGTCTAAAGACCAATTAGGGAAGCACAGAGGTCCTCACAGCTTTCTACTGAAGGTGGCCCAGACAAGCACTCAAAGGAAGAGGCAGGAGTTCATCTTCAAGCTGTGGTGATTTCTTCCTTCCAAAATGGATCACTGAGGGTGGTCCTCCTCCTTCCAGCCACACATGCACCTGTTCCCGATTCTGGAACCTTCCTGCTTGGTTTCTCATACTGTGGTTCAGTGTTAAAACACCGATTGCTGCCTCTGACTCCCAGAGTTTCTGGCTCAGTAGATCTGGCAGATCTGGGATGCAGGTCTAAAAATTTGTGCGTCTAACAAGTTCCATCCTGATGCTGATATTGCAGATGATCTGGAAAACCACACTTTGAGAATTACTGGTGTAGTTAAGTGAAAGCTCTGGCACCAGACTCCTTGTGTTCAAAGGCTCACATTACTCACACATATAGGATTTTGAACAAGTTAGTCTCTCTGTTGCCTCAGTTTCTTCATCTGTTCAACCCAATCGGTCATAGGAATTGAAACTTCTTGGCGATACTGTCTCAGGAGGGTAAATGAGATAATGCGCAGAAAGCACAATCTAATAATACAGATGCTCCCCAACTCCAGTTGCTGTTGATAGTATTTCTCTCAACAAGCCAATGTTGCAGCTACTGGGTCCATTGCCACCTTCATCCATCTGGCCAACCCAAGACTTTCCAGCATCCCTGGGTTCCAGATCTGCCGGGCTTAGTGAGGCTGGACCTCAAAGACCAAGCCGGAAGCCACGGGTCCTGAAAGCGCCTGAATGCAGAATCCTCACTTCAGAGTACTCAAAGTCGGATATTTGATCCTGTCTTCAATACCACAGGGATGGGGAGCTGCAATCTGAGCACAGATCTGTACATTTTTATCCACGCCTGGAGATCCTGCCTGTATCCCCAGTACCAGATTGTCTACCAGCTGAATGGATTTAGCTTCCCGACCCAGCTACCTTTCCAAGCTGCTGGCAGCTGCTAGCTATCTTGCACAATTTCCTCTGTTCTCCCATTTCACTTTGTAAATTAAAAAGTAAAAACAAAAACGAATCAAGAAAAAGTCACAAGATTTCAATTGCTAGACTTGCTTTTTGTTTTTATTATCAACAATCAAGTTAATGATACACTCTTGGAAAACTATATGCACATGTAGAAATATTTCCCTTTTAAATAGAAGCATTCATTATAACACATATAAATAAATTCGAAAATCTGAAACTTAACTTAGGACGTTTATGTTCACAAACATAGTCCAACAAGAAGAAAAAAAGAAATCAGACAGACATGCACCTGATAACAAAAATATATACCATTGTCTGAACCGTGGTCTTTCTAAACACAAAGGAATTGAACCCGTGAGAACCTTATTACTCCATAAAGACACGCCATAGAGACTACAAGAAGAGAAAAACATTATACGGTCACATAGAGGAGACGGTCTGTACTGATATTAACACGATACAATTGAGTCACAGAACACAGTTGTAGAAAGACACCGAAAAAGTTAAAGCCTCAACATTCAACTAATATCTATAGTTTGTGCCTTTTAAAGTAAAATAAAATAAAATCCAACAGAGATGTCTAAACTGCGCAAAGAATGGAATCATCAATATACAGTCCATCCACCGTACAGGATGTGAGTCCATTTCAGATCAAACAGAAATGCAAAGCAGACACTTCTGCAAACTTGTGCGTGCCTATCCCCTGCTGGGTTTCTCTGCAGTCAGTTGGTAGACTGCAGCTGACTCCAATCCAGAGCAGTGCCAAAAAGTTCAGTAAAAGCTGGTGGAAGAAGAAAATGCCAGTGGGAGTAACGGCAGAGAAAAAAAGGGAAGAGTTGCAAAATAGGAGACACAGTTTGCAGAGTTTGCGTGTGAAAAGGCATCTCATGTACAGGGCATCTTTCAGGGCCAAATGACGGCAAAAATTCGGGGTTGGGCTTTGCAACTGTGTGGGGTACAGATGCGCTAATGGCGAGATGGTGTTCGGCAAGGTGGGACAGACAAGCGGGTTCCAGGAAGTCACCTTGGCCATGGAGACAGTCTGCGCGAGTCGTCGCTGCCTGCCGCAGAGAGGCCCAAACCCGAGAATGCGAGGAGCAAGAGGGCTGGAAAGCGTCCCTACTCTCCCCTGAGGTGGAGCCCCCAAAGAGTCTGTGCTGTCAGGAGGGAGAGAATTTAGGGGTTCACAAAGAGCGCCCGCCACCGTGCCAGATGCTATACTTTTATGGATCTGAAAGCCTTTGAGTTGTTTGTTTTTTGAGTGTGTGTGTACTTTTCCGTGGTTGCTGCTTTTCTAATGGGGGGGGGGTCGTGAAGAGGATGTATTTTTCTCTTTTTCTAAGCAAGTCATTGAGTCGTAGTGCCCTCCCCCCGTATCTCTCCCTGTCCCCTGCCCGGGCCACAGACACTTTTCCCCCCCGAGACAGACATACACCGACACGCAGACGCAGCCCCCTGAGAATGTCCCCGAGTCCGGGCCGGCCGCGCTGCTCGCTCCTTGCAGTCAGCAGGCGGGGCCCTGGCCGGTCTACGCGGCCCTGAGGCAGGTGCGAAGCCAGGGAAGTTTTTTTGTTTTGTTTCGTCTGGGGGTTCAGGGTGGGGATAACAGTGGGGTTGAAATGGGGCGACGCCATTTTCTCTTTATTCTTATCGCGATTAGTTTAGGCTCTCA